TATGGGCAGCAACTTCATTTTATTTTTGTTTACACTCCTGATGATACCTAATGTGCCACAAAAAAATAAGTGTCTCTTAAAACCTGTTCTACCCTATGGCCTGAGCCATTTGGTGAGATAATAGGCATCCTGAGTCAGGTATTTGACCTAAGTACCAGAAGGGGCTCCTGCTAGTGCCCAGGTCTTCTATTTGACCATGGACAACCTAAGTAGCTAGGACTGGAAAGACCTATAGACACAGACCCTCTGGTATATTCCTGCCCTGAACCCCCACCTTGAATGTCGGGTGGCTCCCTAGGGAGGCTGTGGTGACTGCAGTGCCTTTCCCCAGTCAGCTCAGCTTCTACACTGGCTATTCAAAGAGTGCCATCTGCAGGATGAACTGACGACTCAACTACTTAATTCATCTCCTTCAAATGATACTTGGAGAATGTGTTTAAAATTTGTTCAAGAGCTACTAAACATAAAATAACTTAAGTTAAACTTTAATGACAGATGATGGATTGTTTCATCAATTTTTCACAGACATCATTTATATCTATGTTAACAGCTGCCTTAAATGTCTATACCCCAAAGAGCAACTAAGGGTGAGATTCACAGGCACTCCCCACTATTCCAAGCATGGAGACATATTTATTCACGGGCTTTACACTGCTTCAACCTCTCCCTGTGGGCAGTCATTTTCTCAGATTGAGAGAATTCTCTTCCTGTACAAGAGCAAATTTCCAGGAGCTATAATAGATGACAGCTATAACCTCTTTCTGCTTTGATTCAAGACAATTTTGTGAACCTCAATACAGAGAAAGGGTGTTTGAAATTCTCTTCTCATATCAGCCTCAGGTCAAAGAATCATGAAATGATAAGGCTGAAAGAGGTCCCCTCACTGAATCATAACCCTCTAGAGTACTGCTTTTAAGTGAACCCCCAGTCTCCTACTCTGCAACACGTGTGGCACCCTGCCTGACCACATCTCATAAACAGCAAAGAACAAGAGTTTCCATGCTTTGGCTTTCTGTCATTGTTTTTCTAACTTAAGAATTTTTTGATTCCTTTTTAAAACCAACACAATGGCCCTCACCTAATTGAGAGCCTCTAGAAGCAAGAGAGAAAGAGGAGCCCTTTCCTGCCCAGATCACCCTGTTCTCTTCACCTGAATGTGGTGATCACATTGCACAAAATAAAGCAGGTCTCAGGAGGGCTGCTACTGAGAGTCAACCTGCCTTCACAGTGATCAGAGTTGGCTTTTCTATGTGGGCTAACAATTCCAGGATGCTGGGCAGCTCCACTGCTCACTCCCTTCCCTAGAGTGGGGACAAGAGAACAAGGTAGGATTAATTTCCAGACCACAAGACCTATCACTAGAGGCCTAGTTACAGGGCAATGAGTGCTTCATGACCGTTACCTGAAGTACTCCCTGTGTAGTCCATATCTGCCGTTCTCCTTTCCAAAGCAAATACTCCTCCTAAAAGCATGAGTCTTTTGGACGTTAGAACTTTCTCTTCTCTCTTAAAAAGATACAGTCTTAACAGAAAGCAGAGTCAGGGAGTTGTGGGCTCTGTCTGTGGATTACTATTGGCAGGGCAAGAGAAAAGCTATAGTGGACCCCAAACAGGATGGCTTTAGCAGCATCTCTGACTCCTCCACTTTTGGTCTTTGTCCTACACTTTCCATGAGCAAAGAGGCACTCAGAAATGAATTTTATGCCTGGTTTATATACCTCAGCAATAAGGATAAGAACATGACACTGGAATCTGACAGACCTGGGTTTGAATCCTAACAGAGCCCCTGACAAACTGGATGACTTGGGACATTAAAGAAGAAGTTTCTGAACTTCAGTGTTATCTTCCATAAAATAAAGCTAACATTATTTATCATTCAGGGTAGGTGTGAGACAAAATACGTAAACAAATCTTAAGCTCTCAAAAATGTATCCATCTCTTCTTCAGTATGAATTTAAGTGAATGTATCTCTGCTGCTGATGGAAAGGCATTGTCCCATGTGCAAGGAAGACCAGGTGTCAGAGAAGGTGGAGGAACAGTTCAGAGAAATGAAACTGGGGTGGCCATGAGATTTGCTTGGTTTTAACAACACATAAAACACTCTGTTGTAACCTATAACCAAAACATGGGCTTATAACCAAGGTTGGCATTGCCTTGAGGCTATATCAGGCAGACAGCAAGGAGGGTTGAGTGGGTCAGTGCTCTGGGTGGTTTTGGGGATGTCCTTTCTAAGTGAGTAGGGGCTGAGCCACAGGATAGCCCTGAGGCATTAGTACCAAAACTATGGGATATCTCTACTTCAACAGACTATGCCAGGTACTGTAGGCCCACTCTCAGCAGTCAGGGGATGCATGTGGCCCTCTCCCTTCCTTTACCCTCTAACAGACTGGAGAGGCACCCAGAATGTATGGCCATCTGGATATTTTGGATCCATGCCACATCTTGTCCACTAAAAGGCATACTGGGATCTGTGTCTATATTACGTTGGCAAATATAACATATGGCACATATATATGCTGGCAGTTCATTCTGCAGAAGGTCCTCATGTAGCTATGAGGTTTTCTCTCTCTTTTTTTTTTTTTTTTTAACTTTTAGAGTTGGAGTCTCACTCTGTTGCTGGAGTGCAGTGGCACACTCATGGCTTCCACAGCCTGGGCCTGCTGGGCTCAGGTGATCCTTCTGCCTCAGCCTTCCAAGTAGCTGGAACTCAGATGTGTACCACCATGCCCGGCTAATTATTTTGATTTATTGTAGAGATGAGGTCTCACCAAGTTACCCAGGATGGTCCCAACCACTGCGTTCAGGTAATCCTCTTGCCTCTGCCTCCCAGAGTACTGGGATTACAGGCATGATCCACCGTGCCTGGCTGAGGTTTTCTTTTTTATTGTGGTAAAATATACACAAGGTACACAACCTAAAACCTATCATTTAACTATTTTTAAGTATAATTTAATAAATTCACAGTGTTGTGCAACCATCAACACCATCCATTTCCAGAACTCTTCATCTTGCAAAACGGAAACTCTGGACCCATTAAACAGCAACACTTATTCCTTCCTTCCCTCAGTCCTGGACAACCATCATTCTACTTTTTGTCTCTATGAATCTGGCTACTCTAGGTATAAGTAGAATCATACAATACTTTTCCCTTTGTGACTGGCTTACTTCACTTAACATAATGTCTTCTATAGCATGTTAGAATTCCTTCCCTTTTTAAGGTTGAATCATATTTCACTGAATGACTATAACACATTTTGTTTATCCATGCATTCGTCAATAGACATTGGGGTTGCTTCCGTCTTTTGACTATTAGGAACATGGGTGTATAATTATCTGTTTACGTCCCTACTTTCAATTCTTTTGGGAATATACCTTAAAATGTAATTGCTGGATCTTATGATAATTCTATTTTTAATTTTTTGAGGACTCTCCATACTGTTTTCCAAAGTGGCTGCATCATTTTACATGCCCATGAACAGTGCACAAGGGTTCCATATGAGGTTTTCTTTATTCCACAGGTTGTGTCCAATCTACCCACATTCTCTGGGTTCAAAGAAAAATCTTTCTGCCAGTGTGATCTAAAAATGCCTTGTCCACAAGGTAGTGCTGGCGGAAGAGAATGACATTACGGCAACAAGGTTTACCTGGGTCCTGTGAAGTCTCTCAGTTTTCAGCATACACTTGCAGTTCCACTAGTGATGCAATAATGCTCCACGACCTTCCTGTTCTCGGTTGGTTGTTGACAGGTCCTCTCTTTTTGCACCCACAGCACACGAATAGGTACCATCTCTTTCTCCACATCCTGGGACTGGGAGCCTCCCTGGGTGGGAGCTGGGGTGCTGCACAATGCCCAGAGTGGCACTCACATGGAGGGCTGCCTGCATGGTGGGATTGGAGCCAGCCCTGGCTAAAGCTGTGATGTGGCAAAACCTTGCTTTGTTATCCTGATTACTTCAGCAGTACCCACCCCTGTGTCCCATGTGGACATCCTTCCCTGCCTTATTCTTCAGTTTCATTTTACACTGCAACTGAGCACACCTGACAAAATAACTGAGCAGTAGCATTTCATCTGGAAGATGAAGGTTTTTAGGACCCATTTGGAAAACTCCCCAATAGAAAAAATAACAGTATAAATTTTTTGAACAGAAAATCTGAACAGAAACCCTTTTTTTTTTTTTTTTTTTTCAAAAAGAACATTCATTTATTCAGGAAATATTTATAAAACACTTTTTTTTGTTTTTTTATTAATCAATATTTTTTATTATGGTTTTGTGGGGTACAGTTAAGGGTTAGGTGTACAATTACGTTTCATTCAGGCACCCTGTTGATAAGAGGTGTTTTCCCATCCCCAGACAGATATTTGCTACTGCAGAAACACTTTTAGATGATTATACCTTTAGATAAATGGTCAGGACTTCCCATATAGCTTCTTTGTGCAAATTAGAAAATGTTGCCCTTTTTGGATCAGGTGTACAGCTCAGCTAAAAAAATGAATATGTGGAAATGGCAGACTAAATATATTGTGCAAATGACACCAAGGCACATTCCCTGGATACATTCAGCCCTGTGGGTGCATGGCTGTTGAATAGGTACTATCTCTTTCTCCACATCCTTTGCAAGCAGAACTGGAGCTGATCTTCAGCTCCCACTCACTGGCAGTGACAATCGTAAGCAGTAGCCCTGGTGTGATGATGAATCCAGTAATGTCATTCTCTTCCGCCAGCACCACCTTGTGGACAAGGCATTTTAGATCACACTGGCAGGAAGAGTTTTCTTTGAAGACCATAAACTTAGAGGTCTGCTTACCACTTACCTAGTGATCCAAGAGAAGACACAGTCTCCTTGTATCAGGCAGGAAGGCAGCCCAGCAGCCCAGGCTATCAACCTTGCATGACCTATCAAACACCAAAGCCATGGCCCTGGTCTCCCTCACACAACACACATACACACACACACACACACACACACACTCTCACCATACCCATACATGTAGTATCTCACCTGAGCCACCTCTTCAAAGTCATCATGCCTCTTCTGCAGGGCCCGGGCTCGATGTAGGGACTTCCCAACCCCAGTGTGTTTGCTGAGAAAGGCCTCACCATGGTTTTCAATCCAGTCTAACACCTGGTCAAAGAAGGAAGACCAAAAAAAAAAAAAAATGACTTCTTGGCAGAAAGCAAGACATATGACAACACGTTCAGAAGTCCAGGTGGAAATGTCAATCCACTATTGTGGATTTTTATATTACCGTCATTGGTAATATAATAATTCTTTCTATAACTCAATTCAACTCATCCTCTTTGATTTCCAGAATATCTTTCCATTACTTGTTCAGTTCTCTTAACCTTAATTAGTCCATTATTTTAAACAAGTTACACAGACCATCAGGCACTGCATTACCCCCTCTACCTCTACCAACCACATAAAGTCAGACACATGGCAGGAAATTAGGTAGTGACAGTTTGGGCAATACCTTGGCCCTCATCCCTTACTCTGCCATAAAACCATCCACAGTACTGGCAAACAATCCTAACGATCCTGCTTCATTATGACAAGGGACTCCCTTCCTACAAGCAAAGTCCAGAGTAGTCAGTTCCCAGATGGATGCTCAAGATTGCTAGTTACCAGGTCAACAGCCCCCTCTGGCTTCTTTCCACTTTTTTCCTCCAAGCAACACAAACCAAGCAAATAAATTAAGGTCTTTGCATCCTAAGGCTTTCAGTATCTGTGATTTTCTTGGGAAGCAGTGGAGACTCCATGTTCTTCCAGGTTGAAGATCTAGTGATTTGGCTTTGAGACATTTTGCTTGATGTTTAGAGAAGTTGGAACAGAGGAGGCTGGGGCAGTAGAGGGGTAAGAGAAGGGATGTTGAGAAGGGGAGAAAATAAGTTTTCCTGAGGGGTACTTGAGAGGTAGGCTGGAAATTCCTTAAAAAAGCCTAAAAAAAGTCTTGAAATGCAGGGAGGACCAAAGCCTTTAACACCTATTGTGCATTCTCACAGATGGCCTAACAAAGATGTGTGCATGCCAGGATCAAGGGAGATAGTTTATCTTCTGATCCTGAAGAGTTGGCATTCAGTCAATCAGGTGGCCACAATTAAATCAGAATGATAGTATAGACACACCTGTTAGAGATCCTGCCAAGACTCAACTGAGCCCACTCCATTCCTGCTATACTAACCATTAACTAAATGTTTGATGGATTAATTATGTACTAGCCTTTCCAGATTTTAGGAGGACCTTCTAGAAAATGATTTAAATGAACTGGGTCTGCTTAAAAGAATGCTTTAATTCATTCCTGGTTTTGATGTTGTTTGCTTGTTTTGCTGTGTTTTTGAGTCAGAGTCTCATTCTGTTGCCCAGGCTGGAGTGCAGTGGCATGATCACAGCTAATTGCAGCCTCAAACTCCTGGCTGGGCTCAGGTGATCCTTCTCCTCAGCCTCCCAAGTAACTGGGACTACAGGTGCATGCCATCACACCCAGCTAATTTTTAAAAATTTTTATAGAGACGAGCAATGTCTCTCTATATTGCCTAAGCTGCTCTCAAACTCCTGGGCTCAAGCAATTCACCTGCCTTGGTCTCCCAAAGTGCTGGGATTACAGGTATGAGCTATCTCACCTGGCTCATTCCTGTTTCTTACACAGATTGCTCTGTGGCAAGCAGAGGTAGACCAGATCATTCCACAGACTTTAGGCATGGGAGTTTTGGCTCTATGGACTCTACTCTTTGGTTTCACTTCCTGAGACACTTGGGAGAGAGATATATATATATAAATATATATATATATATGTTTTGTTTTGTTTTGAGTTGGAGTCTCACTCTGTCACCCAGGCTGGAATGCAGTGACACACTTATGGCCAACGCAGCCTCAACATGCTGGGCAGGTGATCCTTCTACCTCAGCCTCCTGAGTAACTGGAACCACAGGTATGCTCCACTATGCGCAGCTAATTTTTTGATTAACTGTAGAGACAAGGGCTCACCATGTTGCTCAGGCAGATCTCGAGCCCCTGAGGCAATCCTCTTATCTCCGCCTCCCAAAGTGCTGGGATTATAGGCATGAGCCACCATGCCAGGCCTTGGAATATATTAATGCTTGGAATGTGCAAAGTATAGAAGTCTTCAATGTCTTTAGTGATGGTATCATATGAATATAAAAATTAGATTTAACAAACACCCACTTGATGAAGACAGAAGGTCAAGTAATTGTTCATTACAATAAAGAAAAAAATTGTTTTAAAAAATGATTATCTATACATTAGGCATGGATGTTTTAAACATATATATGTGTATGTGCATATATACATAAAACCCCTTAGTAAAATCTTGAAATGCAGGGAGGACCAAAGCCTTTAACACCCATTTTACATACATATATGTATATTATATATATATTTTTTTTTTCCTGGAGGCATATCCCTAAAAAGAAATTTTGGTAGTACTGAATTCATACCTTTTGTAAACACTGAAAGGTGGCATTGAAAAATAACTCTTTCTTAGAAGAGCCTTTATTTCTCTAGAATTACTTATGGTAAAATTTCAACCACAAAAATCAGGAGAGTATATTTTTACTTGGCTTGCTACAATTAGAGCCCACAGTTCTGTTTACTCTGCTTCATAATGGGAGTTGTGAGCTTCAACATGCAAGATCAAAGATAAATATTTCTAGTCACAATGTTTCCCATATATTGTGTACCAGGTATAGTGAAGTTTTAAAAGTTTTATTTGGGGATACTTTTTTTTATATATAAAAGAACTGCCCATAGTCTTTTGTCAATGTTTGAAATTTATAACAGATTTTTCAGATTACAATTTTTAAAAATTTAATTTTGAGCAATTCGGTGTGTCTGCCTGTCTGGCAACATTTTATTTAATTTTTTTAGTCTCCAGCTTTAAGAAAATTGATTATTCTATTGTTGTTGTTGTTATTCTAAAGTAAAGTGAATTGGTTGAAGAGGAATATTTTTCATCCAGTAGTTCGCACACGGTTAGTGTTTGTACTCTTCAGGAATGATTTCACAATTTTTAAACTTTTTAAAATAAGCAGTTTGTTTCCTTTTTAAGTTATTTTGCTGTGTTTAAAATGTCCATTCATTTTCAGCCAGTGATACTTAGTTTCCTTAATTAGTTATGCCTGCATCACTTAAAAACCTATTTATTTCAAATTTGAGAGGCTCTTAGTTATAACTTAACTTTAATTGCTCTTTGATATTATATTGCCACCATTTAGTCCAACTTCTGCCATTAGAATTGAAGCTGTGGGGAAAATGTGCAGTCTTGATGAGGGTTCAGGAACTATGCAGAAATCAGTATAACAAATAAAAAAGCACATGATTTAGAAAGTGAACAAAAGTATTTTTGTAACACATAAAGACCACAAAGGTACTCAAAGATAAATAAACATAAGCAATATATGAGGCATTGGCCAGGCTCAGTGGCTCAGCCTGTAATCCTAGCACTTTGGGAGGCCAAGGTGAGTGGATTGCCTAAGCCCGTGGGTTTGAGATCAGCCCAGCAACTTGGTGAGATCTCATCTCTACAATAAATCAAAAAATTATCCAGGCATGGTAGCGCATGCCTGTAGTTCTGGCTACTTGGAAGGCTGAGGTGGAAGGATCGTCAGAGCCCAGCAGGTTAACTCAGGGGTGTCCATGAGTGTTCCACTGTACTCCAGCCTGGGTAACAGTGAGACTTCAACTCAAAAAAAAAAATATATATATATATACATATACACATACACACACACACACACATATATGAGGTATTATTTAAGATGCTGATTTCTGATTTCTGACTATTTAACTTCAGACAGGCCATTAGAGCCATTGTTAGAGATGCATACTTTTGGACCATATTCTTTCTCTCTCTCTCTCTCTCTTTTTGAGCTGGGGTCTCATTCTGTCACCCATGCTGGAGTGCAGTGGTGGGATCATGGCTCACCACAGCCTTGACCTCCTGGGCTCAGGTAATACTTCCACCTCAGCTTCCTGAGTGTAGTTGGGACTACAGACACGTGCCACCACACCTAATTAATTTTCTGTAGGAATGAGATCTTGCTATGTTGCCTAGGCTGGTCTTGAGCTCCTAGGCTCAAGAAAACCTCCCACCTTGGCCTCCCAAAGTGTTGGGATTACAGACATGAACCATGGCACCTGGCTTATATGCTCTCTTGACCCTGATTCCATGTCCTTCAACCCTGGGACTACAATCCAGCTTCCCAGAGATTCTGCACAGCACAGAAATGTGCTTCTGAGTAGACACCAGCAGTGCCCGACAATTACATCACACACCACAAATTTATGTGAGGCCTTGGAATTCTGGGTATCTGTCAGTTTCTAGTAAGGGCAGGCCCCAGAATCTGTACATTTCTGACTGAAGGAAAAACTGACTTTGTAGCCAAACCCTGGATCCTACAAGCACTAATTATAATCTTTTCCTTGTTCAATTTCTCTCATCTACAAAGTATATTTAAAATATTTAATTCCCAATTATAGTCACAACAGTACAGGACGATAGTTATTCGCATGTGTTGATGGCTTTGAATTGGTATTTAAGCATTTCCAAGATTAGAGCTTTTATCCTTTTATTTTTGTCTGAGGGGTCCTCAGGAAGCAGAGAAGCATGCATGGTATATGAATATTCACATATTCAGATATCTGTCTTAAATTGTGCCCTAGTGCCAGGCACTACAGCAGCCCTGGGGGCAGGGCTGCAGCAGCAAACAAAGCAGGCTTGGTCCAACTCCAATAACTCAGTCTACAGGGGTAATGAACACTAGACACTAAATCACGCAGTTCATCATGACCTGCAAAGGTGAAGCATGCCAACAGTCAGATGCATCCTCGCTGGGGAGTTAGGGAAGATGTCTCTGAAGAAGTGAGGTTTAGCTGAGATCTGAGAGAGAAAGTAGGACTTAACCAAGTTAGTAATCGAAAACACCAGCATGGCTAGAGTAGGAGGTATGGAGGAAATGGGCCTGGAGAAGGCACAATCCAGGTTGTGGTGAGCCCTGCTGTGCTGAATGGGAGATTCCAGGAATCATCCCTAGCACTGAAGGTTGCAAGGAGGAGAAAGACACCGTCAGATTCTCCGTTAAAAAATATTGCTTCAGCCGGGCTCGGTG